GCCCTTCACTTTTAGTCTGTATGTGTCCCTTGCTTTGAGGTGGGTCTCTTGTAGACAGCATATATAGGGGTCTTGCTTTTTTATCCATTCAGCCAGCCTTTGTCTTTTGGTTGGGGCATTCAACCCATTTACATTTAAGGTGATTATTGATAGGTATGGTCCCGTTGCCATTTATTTTGTTGTTTGGGGTTCACGTTTATACCACCTTTCTGTGTTTCCTGTCTAGAGAAGATCCTTTAATATTTGTTGAAGAGCTGGTTTGGTGGTGCTGAATTCTCTCAGCTTTTGCTTGTCTGTAAAGCTTTTGAGTTCTCCTTCATATCTGAATGAGATCCTTGCTGGGTAGAGTAATCTAGGTTGTAGGTTATTCTCTTTCATTACTCTAAGTATGTCCTGCCATTCCCTTCTGGCCTGAAGGGTTTCTATTGATAGATCAGCTGTTATCCTTATGGGAATCCCTTTGTGTGTTATTTGTTGTTTCTCCCTTGCTGCTTTTAATATTTGTTCTTTGTGTTTGATCTTTGTTAATTTGATTAATATGTGTCTTGGGGTGTTTCGCCTTGGGTTTATCCTGTTTGGGACTCTCTGGGTTTCTTGGACTTGGGTGGCTATTTCCTTCCCCATTTTAGGGAAGTTTTCAGCTATTATCTCCTCGAGTAACTTCTCATGGCCTTTCTTTTTGTCTTCTTCTTCTGGGACTCCTATGATTCGAATGTTGGGGCGTTTCACATTGTCCCAGAGGTCCCTGAGGTTGTCCTCATTTCTTTTGATTCTTTTTTCTTTTTTCCTCTCTGCTTCATTTATTTCCACCATTTTATCTTCTAACTCACTTATCCTATCTTCTGTCTCTGTTATTCTACTCATGGTTCCCTCCAGAGTGTTTTTGATCTCATTTATTTCATTATTAATTTTTAATTGACTTTTTTAAAATTTCTTCTAGGTCCTTGTTAAACATTTCTTGCATCTTCTCAATCTTTGTCTCCAGGCTATTTATTTGTAACTCCATTTTGTTTTCAAGATTTTGGATCATTTTTATTATCATTATTCTAAATTCTTTTTCAGGTATATTCCCTATTTCCTCCTCTTTTGTTTGACTTGGTGGGCTTTTTTCATGTTCCTTTAGCTGTTGGGCATTTCTCTGCCTTTTCATCATGTTTAGATTGCTGTGTCTGGAGTGGGCTTTCTGTATTCTTGTGGTCTGAGGTTCCTTTTTATTGTGGAGGTTTCACCCAGTGGGTGGGATTGGACGATTGGTTTGTCAAGGTTTCCTGGTTAGGGAAGCTTGTGTCAGCGTTCTGGTGCGTGGAATTGGATTTCTTCTCTCTGGAGTGCAATGGAGTGTCCAGTAATGAGTTTTGCGATGGATCTATGTCTTAGGTGTGACTTTGGAGAGCCTGTATGTTGAGACTCAGGTCTATGTTTCTGCGTTGCTAAAGAATTTGCGTGGTATGTCTTGTACTGGAGCTTATTGGCTCTTGGGTGGTGGTTGGTTTTGGTGTAGATATGGAAGCTTTTGGATGGTCTCTTAATCCTTAATGTTCCGTGTAGTCAGGAGTTTTCTGGTTTTCTCAAGATTTGGGCTTAAGTCTCCTGCCTCTGGATTTCAGTTTTATTCTTCCAATAGTCTCAAGACTTCTCCAACTATACAGCACTGATAATAAAACTTCTAGGTTAATGATGAAAAGATTCTCCACCGTGAGAGACAACCAGAGAGGTTCACAGAGTTACATGAAGAATAGGAGAGGGAGGAAGGAGATAGAGGTGATCAGGAGGAGAAAAAGGGGACTCAAGAGGAGAGAGACAGATCTACGCAGTTATCTGTTCCCAAAGTGTTCTCCGTAGCCCAGACACCCACAGAGATTCACAGAGTTGGATTGGGAAGAGAAGGGGAAAGGAGGAAATAGAGGTGTTCCGAGGTAGAAAACAGAGAGTCAAAAGTGGGAGAGTAATCACCACACTCCTGAATAGAAATGGGAACTGAATATTGGATTCTTAAATGACCAAAATTTATATCACATACTACTGAAAAACAAAGATTAAAAATCTAGTGTAGAGGTTAGACTCTTTGAAATACAATATTTAAAAACAAAAACACACAAAAAAATTTAGAAATGTATATGAAGTTTGATTTAAAAATAGGGTTTTTCTCTCTCTCTCTCTTTTTTTTTGGCAAGGTTATAGTGAAATGAAAATGAAAATTAAGGAATAATGGAGGAGTATTAGAGGACTTTAAAAGGAAATAGGAGAGAAAAACAAGAAAAAGAAAAAAAAGAAAAAAAAATTTTTTTTTCCCTAATTAAAAAAATCGTAAAAATATATGAAAATGAAAGTTGAGGAGTAATGGGGGAGTAATAGGGAATTTTAAAAGAAAATAAAGGAGAAAAAATAAAAAATAATAAAAAAGGATAGAAAAAAAAATTTTTTTTTTAAATTTAAAAAATATATATATATATATCTAGGAATTTCTCTGGAGTTGTTGCAGTCAGTGTAGGTTCAGTTCAATTTCAGATAGCTCCTCTTTCCAGCTTACACTTCTTGATATCTGTAGGCCCCTTCCGGTGTAGTCGGTGTTACCTTCAGGGATTTTAATCTGTTGCACCGGTCCTTTCTGAAGCGGTTCCCTTTGTTTATTTGGCTTCTGTTTGCCGTCTCTTTGGTGTCTAATTTCCGCCCTGACACAGGCGGGCGGAGGTGATCTCTTATTTAGGTTCTCTAGTTCAGTTCAGTCCTGCTACGGGGAGGGCGGGGCGCTGCAGACAGATACCGCTCTGTGTGGATAGCACTCACCGTGTTCCGGCCACACTGGGTTTGCCCCGCTCACGGGTGTCAGTGCTTTCCCCGTCTACACTGCTCAGGATCCCGGCAGCTCTATATGGAGCGGGCCCTGCGTTGAGTGCGGTTCCAGTTTTCGGGTACTCCACAAAAGCGCAGATTCGGTTGCGTCTGCGTTTTGTGCCTTCCCCGGCCTGAGCGGTTCAGGCAGCCAGAGGCTTGGGCGCACTCTCCCCGGATGTGGCGCGCCTTTTCCCTCCGCGGAGGGCAGCTCAGGCAGCCAGAGGCTTGGGCGCACTCTCCCCGGGTGCGGCGCGCCTTTTCCTTCCGCGGCCCCAGCGCGCGCCGCCAGTCGGGTCTCAGGAAGTCTTTAGATAGGAACTGGGGGCCTGTTTGCAGTGTGGGAGGGGGTGGCTTCTCAGGGGCTGAGTTTGCCCTTTTTCCCTCCCCCCTGCCTTCAACCTCCAGCGGGGATGGGCCGGCTCTTCGCTGGACTTTCTCAGTCCCTTTGTTTTGCGAACCGCCAGCAGTGTGTTCGGGCCGGTTAATTTTGACCCTTGCTATCCCACAGTTTAAAAAAGCTCCCTCCGATTGCTCTCAGGGTCTTCGGGCCGGTCCTTACCCTAAGCAATGTTGCCCGCTCCTCTCCGTCCCGCCCCCGCTTGTTGCTGGCGGGTACGGGCGTCTGGGGTACTTTTCTGCTGGGAGTTGCTTTTAGGCACGTAATCTGTGGGCCTTGTTTAATTTTTCCTCCCAGTTAGATTGCTGAAAACTTCCCCCAGTCCCGCCAGTGCGAGGGTTTCCTGGTGATTGGAAACTTCCTCTATTAAGACTCCCTTCCCGGGACGGGTCTCCGCCCGTAGCTCTTTTGACTCCCTTTCTATCCTTTATATTTTGTCCTACCTCCCTTCGAAGACAATTGGCTGCTTTTCTGGGCGCCTGATGTCCTCTGCTAGCGATCAGAAGTTGTTTTGTGAAATTTGCTCAGCATTCAAATGTTCTTTCCATGAATTTGTAGGAGAGAAAGTGGTCTCCCCGTCCTATTCCTCCGCCATCTTCCCCTCTTTCGACCTAGAATTATTTTTAATAGCATTTTAAGACAGTGTTTAAAATTTTATTATTTATATATATATTCATTTTTATAGTACCTAAAGCAGGTTATACATGGTAGATACTTGATAAGTAATTTTTAAGCACTTTGTTTCTTCAAAAGGATTGTCTCATTCAGTTAATTAATTCATTGATTGTATATTTCCTCCAGTAATTTCCTACTTTCTTCTTGGCACTGACTTGATATTGGAAATCTGCAGTAAATGAGACAAATAATAGTTCATGTGTTCATTGACTGTTTGATACAACATTTCATAGGAAGATAGGCATTAAAATTAAATACATATGAGGAAGTTTTTGAAAATAGAATTGTAAAGGGACTATGAGAACACATAATAAAGGCAGGTAAAGACTTATTTTTTAAATGTTTTAAAGATCTACAGTATAACCAAATGGTACAGTATTACCTTTTGACTTTTGGGGGAACTGAAATGCAAGAGTTGCTCTAGAAGAGTAATATTTTTTAGTCTGGTAGTCCATAACTGTTTTTACTGGCTCATATTATGAGGGTTCTTTTGAAAGTTTTTGTAATTTCACATATACTTCTTTATTTTTCTGATTGCCATGTTGTTTATATTATTTGTTAGGAACTATTTATGTGATACCTAATGTTGATGTAATATAAACATCTTTATATTAAGTCTAGGCTCCTCTTCTCAACTAAATTAATGCCTCTTCTAAAATATATTTTTGTGTCCCAGGATCTAGTTCAGTACCTTGCATATAGGTAGGCACCTATTAAATATTTGTTGAATAAATAACATTTGTATGTGGAATTAATCTCTTAAATGCTTCGCATCTCTGAGACTCTTCAGAACCACTCAAAATCAGACTTGGTATCAGAATATTTTATGAGTCTTGCTAGCTCTTTATTGTAAGTTACTTTTGAGATTCTTCCTTGGGTGGTTGTGAAGAAGAGGGAAAAGGCAACATACTGGGATTTAGGTAGGTATATGTGTTGGTTTGCATGCTTGTAGTAGGATAAGAGTCTAATGAATTTGATGATATCTAAATATGCATAGGTATGGTTATCTAAAATTACTATATTCCTCAGTGGCTTAGGTTGCTTTTCAATAGGTAATCTTGATTTTTCTTTTCCATTTTTCTTAAAAAAGCAGGACTGCTTCACCGTAGAGGGGGAAGATTTGAGGCATGACTTTGAACGCTTACAACTAGCCATGGAAATGGTAGGATTTCTTCCCAAGACTCGAAGACAGTGAGTTTATTTATTGTATTCCTTTACCCTCAGTAGAGATCCTTTGAAACAATTTTCTAATGTTCCTATCTAGTGCATCTTCCATCTTAAGCATTATGTAGAATTAGGAAATTTATTTTTGTAAAAGACTTGTTTTGAATTGCTTTCTTTTGTCATAAATTCTTTGAGAATCTGTTGAAAGTTAGAGCTCTTCTTCCTAAAAATGTAGTCCATAAACATTTGCATATTATTACAGGAGTTCATGGTGTCCCCCAAACCTCTCCGTGTACCTTCCTTAACTGTTGCTTTATAACACTTGTTGTCAAGGGAAGGAAACAATGTGGGGTCTAAGGGTGGGTTGCTTAAAGTAAAAGAGAAGCGAGGTTACTTTGATAGAAAGTTCTTGTCAAGTTCAGGTGAGACAGAAAATAGGTATAATAATGTCCCAGAGTAAACTGAGTTCATGAGATGTAGAGCTCAAATATAGGGATTATCTATTGGCTGGAAGAGAGGCATGTGTTTTTCTGAGACAGGAGGGAAGGACAACTGAGATGTAGATATTTCACAGTAAGGGCCTAATATTAGATCATATAGTCCAGTGATCTCCATTACTATTTTTATTTTTTTTTATTTTTTATTTTTTCCATTACTGTTTTTAAAAAAGGCATTATAATATGATGGTCAGTATAATATGATGTGAGAAAGCATTTAAAAATATAATAATAAAAAAATCACCTTGGTTACTTTGTTTAAAAAAATACGAATTCTGAGACTTCTTTTAAAGATTCTAATTCAGTAGATCTGGGCTTCCCTTGTAGCTCAGTTAGTAAAGAATCCACCTGCAGTGCAGGAGACCCGGGTTCTATCCTTGGGTTGGGAAGATCCCCTGGTGAAGGAAATGGCAACTCACTCCAGTATCCTTGCCTGGAAAATCTCATGGACAGAGGAGCCTGGTGGGTTGCAGTCCATGGCATTGCAAAGAGTCGGGCACAACTGAGCGACTAACACACAATGCAGTAGATCTGAAATAGGCCATGTGGGAAAGGACATTCCAGGTAGGATAAAAAGCACTTAGAAAGTCATGGACTTTTGAAACACCACAGAAGATTCAGACAATGTTAAGTCCCCTTTAAGGCTTCCCTGGTGGCTCAGTGGTAAAGAATCTGCCTGCCAATGCAAGAAACATGGGTTCAGTCCCTTATCCGAGAAGATCCCACATGCCATGGAGTGACTAAGCCTGTGCGCCACAACTACTGAGCCTGTGCTCTAGAGCCCAGGAGCCACGACTGCTGGGTCCATGTGCCACAACTACTGAAGCCTGTGGTCTCTAGAGCCCAAGCTCTGCAACAAGAGAAGCCAGCACACCAAGAAGCCTGTGTACCACTGCTAGAGAAAAGCCTGTGCAGCAATGAAGACCCAGCACAGTAAAAAATAAATAAATTTAAAACAAAAGGAATAAAGTCCCCTTCAAACAACTATATCTGTATATCTGACGTGGATACAGTTCTTAAAGTGAAGTTATATAAAGCACTTTGCACAGTGCCCGACATGGTAAACACTCAGTAAATTTTAGTTATTGTAGTTATGATTATTATCCCCGTATTTCTTATTTTTCTGAAGACTAAGTACTCTGTATTTGTACTGGTTAATTTGCTTGATTAGAATTTTGGAATGAAATAAGCTTAAGAGAAGTCACATAAGCAAGCTGTAATTTATGGTTTTATTTTCACAGGATTTTCTCTCTCCTCTCAGCAATACTACATTTGGGTAATATCTGTTATAAAAAGAAGACATACCGGGATGACTCCATAGATATCTGTAATCCTGAAGTTCTGCCTGTTGTCTCCGAGTTATTAGAAGTGAGTGATTACATTCTCAGTTTTCATTTCAAATACTGGTCACTTCTCAGTTTTTCTTTTGTGTAACTATTTTGTAGGTATAAATGGGTTAATACTTTTAATTAATAGTGTTACTCCAGAAGTTGGAATTCTTTCTATTATGTGTGCCAGACTCTTTAGAAGATTTGGGTTTTCTCCCCCACCTCCCTTTGTCCCAGATATCTGTAACTCCTAAATTTGCTTAATAGGATGAATATTTCACTCTATACTATATCATGTTCTAGGTCTTTGTAAATTTTCTCCTACATAGTAGGTTGTTGGTTAGATTATTTTCTTTGAAGATGGGGTGTCCAGATGGGTGGAGTACTACTTTTTCTTTCTTCATGGCTAAATAGGAGTCAAACGTCTTCATATCCTATGACGTTTCTTTGCACATCAAGGTCCTCATTAGCTTACTCTTTCTTCCTGGACTGATGATTTCTCATGTTTTCTCAGCTAACTGCTCATCTTAAAAGGGGTGTAGTTTTTTATGGGCCCTCTCCTCTGACAGAACAGGAAATATGTATGTGTAAACTCACCTTGAGTATATTCACATATCTCCAAATATTTTTATGTGACTGTCTATATAAAGATAAACATGATCTGTGCAACAAGGGAAGCTATAAACAAATGGAAAGACAACCTGTGGAATAGGAGAAAATATTTCCAAACTATGCAACTGATGGAGGGATATTACATGGTATCACTTATATGTGAAATCTAAAACTCTGATGTTGTTGTTGTTGTTCAGTCATCCAGTCATGTCCAACTCTTTGTGACCCCTTGGACTGCTGCACTCCAGGCCTCTCTGTCCCTCACCGTCTCCCGAAGTTTGCCCAGTTCATGTCTTTTGCATCAGTGATGCCATCCAGCCATCTCATCTTCTGACACCCTCTTCTCCTGCTCTCAATCTTTCCCAGCATCAGGGACTTTTCCAATGAGTCAGCTGTTTGCATCAGATGACCAAAATACTGGAGTTTCACTTCAACATTAGTCCTTCCAACGAGTATTCAGGGTTGATTTCCCTTAAGATTGACTGGTTTGATCTCCTTGCTATCAAAGGGACTCTCATATGATACAAATGAATTTAGTTACAAAATAGAAATACACTCATAGACATAGAAAACAAATTTATGTTTACCTAAAAGGAAAATGGGAGGGAGGGGTAAATTAGGAATCTGGGATTACTGGATACATACTACTATATGTAAAATAGATAAAAAATAAGAACCTACTGCATAGCACAGGGAACTGTGTTCAGTATTTTATAACCTATAATGGAAAAGAATTTGAAAAAGGATATGTATTTATATATATAAATAAAACTGAATCACTTTGCTGTATATCTGAAACATTGTAAGTCAACTGTGTGTGTGTGTTAGTTGCTTAGATGTGTCCGACTCTTTGCAACCTCATGGACTGTAGCTTGCCAGGCTCCTCTGTCCGTGGGAGTCTCCAGAAAAGAATACTGGAATGGGTAGCTGTTCCTTTCCAAGATTATTTAGGTCAGTAGTTTTCCTCCTTCCCTCTTCACTGAGGTTGTTCCATATATTTGTCATATAGTTTCCATGTCGTGGCCTGCATTCTTTCCTGAGATTCCCCCAGCATGGTAAATGATTGCTGAAAATTTGTGTACCTTAAGATTCATGGATTATGTATGTATATATGTATGGATTGTGACAAATGCATAATGTTGTGTGTCCTCCACTACAATATCTTACAAAAGTTTCACAGCCCTGAAACTTCCCTGTGTGTCATCTATTCAACCCCTCCCTACAAACTACTGATGTTTTTACTAGCTTTGTAGGTTTGCTTTTTTCAGAATGTAACATAATTAGATTCATATAGTATTAATATATCATGTTTTCAGACTTAACTTGTTTCACTTAGCAGTATACATTTAAGATTCATCCAGTGTCTTTTCCTGGCTTGATAGCTCATTTCTCTTTATTGCTGAATATTATTCCATATGTGCATGTATCACAGTTTGCCTGTCTGTCCATTCACCTATTGAAAGTGAAAGTCGCTCAGTCGTGTCCGACTCCTTGTGACCCCATAGACTTTATTACAGTCCATGGAATTCTCCAGGCCAGAATACTGGAGTGGGTAGCCTTTCCCTTCTCCATGGATCTTCCCAACCCAGGGATCGAACCCAGGTCTCCTGCATTGCAGGCGGATCCTTTACCAGCTGAGCTCTTAGGGAAGCCCATCTATTGAAGAATATGTTAATTATTTCCAATTTTTTTTTGCAATTATTGGTGATCTTTTTTTTCCTGTTAAAATATCACTTATTTTTCAAATCTTGGTTCATATACTGCTTCATCGGTTTTAACTGTATTAAATGGTTTAAACTGATTCCATCAGCATAGAACAATTTGCTTCTCCTTAGCATAATTCAGTCGAGAAGGCAATGGCACCCCACTCCAGTACTCTTGCCTGGAAAATCACATGGATGGAGGAGCCTGGTAGGCTGCGGTCCATGGGGTCACTAAGAGTCGGACACGACTGAGCGACTTCACTTTCACTTTTCAGTTTCATGAATTGGAGAAGGAAATGGCAACCCACTCCAGTGTTCTTGCCTGGAGAATCCCAAGGACGGGGGAGCCTGGTGGGCTGCCGTCTATGGGGTTGCAAAGAGTCGGATGTGACTGAAGTGACTTAGCTTAGCAGCAGTGTAATTCAGTATTGGCTTTGTAGCATAGTTAATTGTTTACCAGTTTGTGTCCATTATAAGGTAGTGGCAGTGTTCTTTGAGATCTGTGGATGTGCTTATTTATCTAACCTTACAATGTTTATTATTTTGTACACACCTTGCTGTTTGTTTATTAACTTTAATGGAATGAGTTAGCCTGGTAGAAGAGGCAAGAGGGAGTACTTTGAGTTGGAACTAGACTCACTCATTAGAAAGGAGTTCCAGAATGTGGAGTCTGGTATCTGAAAGCTGTAATTTTAAAGCTCATGAGGGTCAGAAAACAGATCTTTCAGACAGGACTTCCAGGTGATATTTTAGTCGTTCATTTCGTATTGTGGTGATACAGAGCATTTTGGCTAGTGATCTTTCTTAGAAGTTTAGGCATTCAGCAAGTACCAAGGCTTCTAGTCCTAGTGAAATATTTCTTTTTTGGTGAGAGACTAATGAGAACAATTTAGGAAATTTAAAGAGGAACTCAGTTGTTTGTAAAAAAAAAAAAAGGAGGGGGGGAATCCAATTCTGAAAATTGGGCTTGCCAGTGTTAAAGTTGGGCTAACAACTAAGTGTGATTTAATAGCAAATCCCACCTTTTGTTTGTTTTTTTTTTTTTAAGAAGTTGAATATTTTATTATTAAATTGTTTATTCTCCTGCAAGGCTGTTGCTTCACTATATAAAAATAGCACCAGCAAACACAGTATATTGCAAAGTTAAGACAGTAATATTCTTCACTGGACACTATACAACTAACAAACTTTTCTCCACTGCCAGTTATTTCTAGTGGGAAGATCATTTTGACCCAAATCCAAGGATAGCTGTAAGCAAGTTACAATGTCATATAAGGTATAAGATAACCATGTTATCCTTGAATTACATAATTTTTGTAATTAGTTTTATCAGAGATAATTTCAGGAATTCTGAATAGTATAACTGGACCCTAGCCTAAAAATCACAGGATGCTGTGGAAAAGATACAGTATTTATTTGAAGGCATTAGAAAGTTAAGGGGTATTTTCTTCAGGAAACATTGTTACAAGTAGTTTCTTTTGCTAAAAGTTGCTTTTTAAATATCTATCCACCACTAATTTAAGACAACTATGCTAGATTAAGTTGTTTCAAAGTAGTTTATTTAGGGGTTCCATTTTCATTCCTTAATAGATTTTATGTATTTTTCATATGCTTCTTCACTCATTAGTTCATCTAGTTCTGAAGGGTTACTGAATGTCATCTTGATCAGCCAACCATCTTCATAACAAGACTTGTTGACAAGTCCTGGATTTTCTGCTAGAGCTTTATTAATTTCTGTTACTTCTCCTGATAGAGGGGAATAGAGTTCACTAGCAGCTTTCACACTTTCCAAAGCACCAAACTCCTCTTGTTTATTCAACTTTGTCCCAACTTAAGGCAGACTACAGTAAACAACATCTCCCAAAGCTTCCTGTGCAAAATTGCTGATTCCCACTGTTCCAACACCGTTTTCTGTTGTTACCCATTCGTGTTTTTCTGTGAATTTCCGCACCGACAGCAGAGCAGGGCCGGTGCGCACAGGTGCAGAGGGTCTCCGCGCGGCTCCTAGAGCACCCCGGCCGGCGGGGGCGGGGCGGCCCAAATCCCACCTTTTGAATTCGGGCTTCTCAAATTCCTTGTTTTGAGTGGTTCCTCTTTCTAGTTTGGAGTGGTTTGAGGAGTGAAGTTTCAGTAATAAGTAGAAAGAAAATATCTTCAAAAGTCAAGGAGCTAGAGAAGATCTGACAACACCTACCAGAGTGTCCTGCCTATAGTTAGACCTTATTTTTATTTATCATTATTTTTTATTAAAAAAATTTTTTTGGCCCTAAGGCTTGTGGGATTTTAGCTTCACAACTAGGTATTGAACCTTGGCCCCTGGCAATGAAACCACTGGGTCCAGACCACTGGACTGCCAGGGAATTCCCCATGAAGTTTATTTATTTATTTACTTTTTTTTTTTTTTTTGGCTGCACTGGGTCTTCATTGCTGCATTTGGGCTTTCTCTAGTTGTGGCAAGAGGGGGCTTCTCTCTTCATTGTGGTGCACTGGCTTCTCATTGCGATGGCTTCTCTTGTGGAGCTCGGGCTGTAGCAGGCTTCAGCAGTTGCGGCTCTCAGGCTTTAGAGCACAGGCTCAGTAGTTGTAGCACATGGGCTTAGCTGCTTCGTGGCATGTGAGGTCTTCCCAGACTAGAGATCGACCCCGTGTCCCCTGCATTGACAGGCGGATTCTTACCCACTGCCACCAGGGAAGTCCAATAAAATTTAAAGACTATTTGGAAAAT